ACAAAAATAAATTTAAACTGTCCTTCCTTATAAGCAGGATAAATGGGAGACCAAAAGTGCAAAACCAAGTTTATGGCTGTAAACATGTATTTAAAGCGTTGTTTTTTTCAGTCTAGGTTGTGATGAAGAAATGTAAGCATGTTGAGATTTTCAGGACTTAATCTTGACCGCTGAGGTGAGAGAATGTGTCCACTTGTACAATGAACAAATAAAAAAATAAGAAAATAATAAATAATGTGTCAAAGTCCAAATAAACATGGTGCAAATCCTCAGTAAAAAATAGATATAAATATTTACTATACTATAAAGTTACATAACGAAACTAGATTCAATATGGAACATCCTTAGGTTTTATGTGCCAGCATGGATATGGTTGTCTATGGATTTGGATATGGTTGTCTGCAATGCAGACAAACAGCTGCACCTTCATTTGCATCTTTTGAAAACAGCAAGAGCAGCAGTTCGTCTTTGCTGTGTCACTGTTTTGTCATGTTTCTGTGCTGCTGTGCATGCAAAAGTACTTAGTATGAGAATTATTTCATGCAAAACTTTTTTTATGCGTTGTATTTAGCCGCGCATAAATGTATGCCTATCTCTCATTCCGTGTTGTTCAAAAAGCTCATTGTTGGTCCACAAACAAAAGTGAAACCTATGCTTATTGGTTGTGATATAGCGAGTTTGAACCAATCTGGGCATGGAGGAGGGACAATGCATCAATGTATCATGTCTGGTTTGTCCGGAGACACAGTGACGAGCGTTTCTTTGTCAAATCAGCGTTGTCAAATTTTGATGACGTAACTGCACTGATTCCGGGGCCTCTGAAAGTCTGCGAATGTTACGTGATACAGCACTGGAAAGCTGAGATTCTCTTCTTTATGCCAATCTTTCAATTGTATGAATCGGATCAGCGGATCAAAAGTTATTAAACATTTAAAAGCAATACTTATTTTTAGCCTCAGGCGGCTGTCTCGGTCTTTAAGGGTTAAAACCGTTGATATGCAATTGTTCATGGTATGATAATCGTGCACATTCAAATCGTGGTAGACCGTCATACCGGTATATTGTTTTAACCCTAATTGTCACACACGAGTGTCATCTTTTGTAATGGTTCTTTGAAATCATCCAAGATATTTGACTTTGTATTTGAGTGCATCCCCAAGGTTTAACTTGTATAAAAAGATTCAAATGTGTTTGAGAACTTGGTCAAGCCTAGTCTCAGCCTCAGATGCACACCAAGCACCACCTATGAACCTGTGGCTATACATCTGATGTATATGACTCTCTTTTCTAGACACACTTTAACAGATCCTCTGTTAAACTTACACTTTAAGTTATCCTCTGATTGGTTTACAGGATTTCCGCAAGTCGATTGTGCAGCAATCTTAGCCAGTTCCCCTGGAAACAAGTTTAATCGGATAAAAAAAAAAATGCTTCAATGTTTACCCCAGTCTGTGTCTACATGTCCTACTGATTTCCTTTATGATGTGATGATAAAGCGGCATGGTGGCTCAAGGTTAGCACTGTCACCTCACAGCAAGAAGGTTACTGATTTGACTCCGATATTGCATTTCTGTGTGGAGTTTGCATGTTCTCCCTGTGCTGACGTGGGTTTCCTCCAGGTGCTTCGGTTTCCCCCACAGTCAAGACACATGCGCTATACAGTAGGTGAACCAAATAAGCTTAATTGGCTGTAGGGTATGGGTGTTTGCCAGTACTGTGTTGCAGCTGGAAGGGCATCCACTGCGTAAAACATATGCTGGAGTAGTTTGCGGCTCATTCCGCTCTGGTAACCTCTGAAATAGAAACTAAGCCGAAGGAAAATTAATTTGCTGATAGGTCATTAAGGATATCGATGCATTACCTTTGTGAATGGATGACGCATGTGTAGATGGGAGTTATTCTAAATATAGCCCCTAAATATGACGCCACACAAAACGAAAGGTTATACTGTCAGTCAAATAGCATCGTGGGCGTCCTTGACCATTCAAAGTGACCAAAGTTCCCAGATCTTCAGTCATCAGTCTGTGCTATGGCTATGTGAGACTAGGTCAAACCTCTACAAATGAAGAGATTTAAATACAGTGATACAGGCAAGAATAGGAAAGATCACAGATGTTTTGAATCCGTCAATATTGATAATTATCATGATAAATGTTTTCTTTTAAGTTTAAAAAAGTAAAAGAGTCGTAGAAACTGCCAGACAGTTAATTGTTGAAGTAGCCTTTTATCAACTGTCATCTGGGGTACAATATTTGTGATGATAAATAATTATAAAACCTGTTTTGAATATTTTGAGAGACCTCAATGTACCACTCACTCACTCGCTCACTTTGGCCTAGTTCCTGATTTATTAGGGGTCCCCAAAGTGGAATGAAGCGCCAATTATTCTGCCAAATGTTTTCATGCAGCACATGCTTCCAGCTACAGAACTCAATATCTGAACAGAAAGAATACCTTATTCATCCTTTCATGTTTAACTGCTGATTTCAAATCATGAAGCTGATTTTTTTTTTTACTTTGAAGACATGTTGAAGTAAGTTAAAACTTAAAAGTTTAAAGTAAGTTAAAACATGTTGAAGTAAGGTAAAACTATGTACCTCATTGTCACATCTGAAATCATATGTTAAGGATTTGCTGTCAAAATGCAAATAAAAATTGCATTCGATTCATTGCTCATGTGCTATTATAGCTTATGTGCTAATGTTTTATAGAGTGAACTTGTTTTTGCTTAAAGCTGTAGGCCAAACTCATTGGCTGCGTCCGTAACGGCCTACTACTCAGTAGGTACTGCATTTGAATTTAAACTTACTACTTTGCCCTTAGAAAAGCACGTTCTGTACAGTATGAATGTGAAAAGTATGAATGGAATTCGGACGTACTACATCCGACATTTTGTCATGGTCACGTGACCTATCTGCATCAGTTACATTGCTTCAGTCCCATTTATGAATTCTCTCGCAGGGCATCATGGGATAGCGTAACGTGCATGGAATGCGCACTTCAGAATCTCGCTGGAAGTAGTAAGTCATCGGGGTAATTCTCGCATACTGATTTTCGATTTCTATGAATTTCGACATACGACTCTGCTCGCATACTGATTTTAGCATACTGTAAAGTATCGAAGTATGCGGCTTCGGATGCAGCCTTTGTTTCTTCTGCAAAAATCCTCTTACTGTAAAACGTATATTATTAAACTGCTCCACTTTTAATCACTAGATTTTTTTTTTTTTTTTTAACGAAATGAACTAACTTCAAGAGATATTCAGGAAGTTTTACCTGGGATTTTTAAATTTGTTTTCAAATAATAATATGAAATGTCATATCACATTTATCTTGTGTCTATTTGTCTGTGTCTTTATTATATTTACTTTTAATGAATTTTTTTGCCATTTAAAATGCAACATTGCATGCTATTTTTTGCTGACCTAAAAATATATGATACGATATACCATATATATGATATGATATATGATACAATACGATACAATGCAATGCCATATAATATGTGATATGATGATACGATATCATAGGATACGATAAAATATAGGGCATAATATATCAATTATCACAATAACAGTATATGCAACATCCATATCACAGAGAAGTGCAAAAACTTACATTTTATGTGCCAAGCATTTGTGTGCTTCATCCATGGGTTGTTATCTAGATTTGACCAATCAGATGTTGCCTTTACTGTCTTTATCCTCACCTCTCCAGTGGTTGCTGTGACCAACCTAGAGCTGAAATTTAACACTAATGATGGGAGAGAGGCGAGGAAAAATTACAACAGCCAATTAGATGCAGGTTTTCAGTCATTTGTAGGAGCTTTGAAGTCCAAATGTTTGGATCTTGACATAGTTTTTTAATTTAATTAGCTTAAAAAAATATCTATTACCTGTTTATTTTGGAATGATGATAACATAATTTAATGTTTTGCAAGTTATATTGTTGGAAAAATTGTTATCGCCACTAGGGTTGGGTGATGACGACCAATTTAGCATCGTACGATGTGTGATGTGAAACATCGCGATGGACGATGCCTTCATCGTCATAGGCGGAGGTGAATGAATTATTTATGAATAATTAATTAATTCATAACGAATAAATTATTTGTAGCCTACCATTTCAACTACATGACCTGCATGGTCTTTGTTTTACTCATAAACAAATCAAAAATAAATAAAGATAAGTTGCATACAAATTACCACCTGACAATCACTTTTTCTGCAGGAGGTTGGTCGGTAAAAAAGGTGCACAACCAACAGTATCTGAGGTTTTCACTAAAATTATTAAGTACAAGTGTGAAAGATTGAAGCAATGTACTGATGCTGTGACATGTTACCTGATAGATTCAAAAGACAGAAGAATCATTAGATAAAGACGAGATTAATTAAATATCACGTTTAACAGCTATAGTGGGACGCAATCCAGTGGTACATCCTTGATTAACTGTCCAACGTGCACTGCTCTCTGGAGTTCAGAGGAGCGCATGACGGTGTGTGTGGCTGTGTGTGTGTGTGATTGCATGATGTGCATTTTCAGCGGACAAAGGGCTGTTCAGATATGCTAGGTAAAACACGGTGTGGTTGTGGATTATTTTCGTTCATAAATGCCATTTTAACACTAAGACATATTAGTGTTAACGGGGCGTTAGTGTGTATTTTACACGAGCGGGTTTGCGACGGGGGCGTGGCGAAGGATCGGCGATGCCAGCTCAGCATCGTGTTGTCTATTGGCCATCAGCGATGGACGATGGCATAGTCTATCGGCCTAAGCCTAATCGCCACACTCAACAGCAATATCACATATTTACCCAGTATTGTGCAGCCATGATATTGTATGATATGTAACAATTAAAAATTATACCTTTATAATTACAGTTTTATCATATAGCCTTAACTCTGTTAACAACCTACATCAACTATATCATTTTTAGGATCATTAACATGTATACTCTAGTGTAGACTGCCCTGCTAAATATGCCAAATCTGTTGTTTCAGATGGATTGAAGCATGTTTGAATGAGGATCTCCCACCCACCACTGAGCTGGAGGAGGGCCTGAGGAACGGCGTTTATCTGGCCAAGCTGGGAAACTTCTTTGCCCCCAATGTGGTCTCTCTCAAAAGAATCTATGACCGTGAACAAACACGCTACAAGGTGAGACTGACTTTATTTCTTTCAGGAGCTCTGACGGAAATAGCAGACGGTTTGAATTAAAATGTTACTCCTTTCTTTTCCCCCCTCTGCTTTGTCTTGTTTGTAGGCCACTGGGCTCCATTTCAGACACACAGACAATATCATCCAGTGGCTGAATGCAATGACAGATAAGGGCCTCCCTAAGGTGAGTCTGCATGGATCTGTCATTAGCGGCATTTCTTCAGCTTTACCGAGACATGACAGAGCTTGCCTCTCAGCTTCTTCTCCATGTTTGGCAACAGTGCTGCCTTCGGTCTCATCAAAGTACATGTTTTTTGTCTCTCCACGTTAGATTTTCTATCCTGAGACAACAGACATCTATGACAGGAAGAACATGCCACGCTGTATCTATTGCATACATGCTCTCAGGTAATCTAATATGTCACTGTGGGCTCATTCAGAAAACTCGTGTTAGGGAGCAGCCAACTATAATGCTGGGTTCACACACCAGACGGGAAGCATCTCAACATTGCTCTAGATTACTTGCTGGGGAGTTTTTTTTTCGCCTCACACTAATTTTCTGCTCAAGTTTATTTTAAATCATTTATTTATTTATTTTTTACTTATGGTGAATTGGACGTGTTCAGTTTCACGTCATTCACACCACCCGATGGAAATTCGCCCCCATTCTTGCATTTGCATTGTCTACTCATGTGAATACTTCAATATGTATTGGTAACACTTAATGTCAGTTAATGCAGTTACTAACATCAACAAAGAATGAAAGATAAGTTTGTTATAGTAACCTTTATTAGGCTTTGTTAACATTTTAATGAAGATTAAGTTGTTAGTTGTTGTTAACTCACAGTGCTTTAACTAATGTTAACAATCATAAGTTTGGGATTTTAATAATGCATTATTTAATCAGGCCTCAAAATGACCACTCCAAAGTGTTAAGATGAAAGTAACAGATAAATGTAAAGTGTGTAAAAGTACTTTAAATATGGGAGAGGCCATTTGCTGTAGCATTTGCAACTTCTCAAATGTCAAATTTTCCAAAACCTGAGGTAAAGTTGTTGTTCTCATACACTGCAATATTTTTTAAGTTGAATGAAATCAACGTTTATAGTCCTCAACACATTGAGTTAAACTTTGAGTTAAAGAAATGTTAAAACATTTGTTGTCATCATTTTTTTATATCATATACTTTTTTGCAGTATAGTGGCGATTTAAGTCATGGAAGTTATATTTAAATAAAAATATTTTAAAGTTATTTCAACATTTTATTTTGAAATTTTATTATTAATATATAAGTACATACAGCAATAGCCTATTTTTCTTCCATTCTTTAGATGTCATGGAATTTCAGCTTTTTCGTCAGTCGAAGTCTGAGAATAGTCCAGGTGCTTTCACACCTGTAGATCAATTCTTTCATTCCGAAACAGGGATTAAAATTACAATGTGTATTTTTGTTTTTGTTGCAGTTCACTTTCACACGGCAAAAGTTTCTAAATGGACCAAAATAGCTAAAAAAAAAAGTCATGTGTGAGTTAACTCTCCTCACATTGGTTTGAGGGTTTATTTTTCAGTCCTGCTCAGCTGTCAGGCGTCCTTATTTTAATTGATGATGATAAGCAATAAGACATTATAAGCGACAAGCTGCACTTTCATTTTGAATGGTGACACCCATAGACATTGTCACCAAATATAGGCTAAATCCTCTGTAAGACTTTGTTTATTATGCATTATAGGCTTTACATTATAGAGAGAAATAACAGATAAACCAAGACCACGGTCGGTCAATTTTCGTAACAAATAAACAGCTCTTGTTAATAGTTCAGCATGCTTTCACTTTCGTATTTAACATGAAACACGCATTTACCGGTAGGAATGATGACGTCCCGCCTTACTTATAAGTCTCTCTTTATGTAGCCATATAATACACTGTGACATAGCCTGGTTCAAATCATATTGCTTTCTCACTACAATTAATACACTTCAGAGTTAATTTCAAACGAGCTGAGACCACCTCATTCAGGCTATCTCGGACCGATTGGTTTGGTGCTGATCCGAGCGCAATTGCTGGATTCACATGCCAGACGAACAGCGCTAACTGGGGAAATGCGCCAGGTTCCGGAGCAAAGTCTAGGTCTGAAAGCACCCTTAGATCATATTGGTAAATATATTAACATTTAACTTATTGACCATTATTTTAAAGTGTTATCAAATTTGCTTTTGGTGTGAACTCAGCATAAGAACCAATGCAGCTTAACTATTTTTGTTACAGTGTACAGCAGTAGAGTTTATCTAATAACAAAATCAGACTTTTCATCGTTTTAAACCCTGGGTTAAAGTAATCCAGGGTTATTATATGCATTTCGCCCTGCTCATAATTTACCATTCTGGGTATTTATACTCTTGACATTTCACCCTGCACATTCCTAAACCCTAATCTGTTTGTATAATTACAGTTTTGGTGTCTTTGTTAGATGAACACAGCCAACACTGCACAACCATAAATCATACAGTATACATCTTATAGTGCCTTCTATCAAGCTTTTCCTCTCCATAAAGGACTTTTTGGACTGTAAAGATAAGATTCAAATAGTTTGTTCTTTTGCTCCAGTTGACATGTTTTTTGACACCATTTGACATTTTTTTTCTACTCAACCAGTGAAGCGAAAGCTTGTTTAAAGAATCTTGAGGCATGTGATTGGTGTCTTAGCTTCTAGTCGCAACTTTATCACACTGCATCTTTTCACACTGTAAGTGTAATGTAGGGCTAACCGCCTAACACCGCCAAAGCACTGCTAACTCTGCATCTGGAGCAGCGATACCATTACTTCTGAGTTATCAGTGTAAATGTTCCTTAACTTACAAACTATAACTTACAAACCTAGATGATACAAACTAGTAGAGCATGCAAAACTATAATTGGAAGTGATTAAACACCCTTTCCCATATGATTCTCTCATATGTGTCACACTGGGATGTTTATCCACACCACCATTAAAATGTTGATGTCTGTAAGATCGTTTACTAATTTTTTGTTTAATTAAAAGGACTGTGTTTATTTGACTACACCATGACACACAATGTTCTTAAGACTTAATTTTCAAAGAAAACTAAGAACAGACATTAATAAGAAATTGTTAAAAAGACATTTAATAAAAAAAGATTTCTTGAGCAACCAATCAGCTTTAAAGTGCTTGTTGTCATATGCACAGTAAGGAAAAGGTTCCCTATACAATTCTTACTTGGCTGCCCACACTGAATGCCAATAAAGTTTAATTTATATAAAAAGATAGGCATGCGATAAAGTAGACATAAGTATAAACTGAGATAAATAATAATAATAAAGAAGATTTCTATACACACTCACCGGCCACTTTATTAGATACATTCATATGTCCAACTGCTTGTCAACGCAATTTTCGAATTGGTCACTCACATGGCTGCAACTCAATGCCGTCAGGCATGTAGACATAGTCAAGACAATCTGCTGCAGTTCAAACCGAGCATTAGAATTGGGAAGAAAGGTGATTTAAGTGACTTTGAACGTGGCAGGGTTGTTGGTGCCAAACAGGCTGATCTGAGGATTTCAGAAACTGTTGATCTACTGGGATTTTCACGCACAACCATCTCTAGGGTTTATAGAGAATGGTCTGTAAAAAAAAGAGTAAATATCCAGGGAGAAGCAGTTCTGTGGCAAAAATGCCTTGTTGATGCCAGAATAGAATGGCCAGACTGGTTTGAGCTGATGGAAAGGCAGTAGTAACTCAAATAACCACTCGTTACAACCGAGATGTGCAGAAGAGCATCTCTGAACGAACAACATGTCCAATCTTGAGACGGATGGGCTACAGCAGCAGAAGACCACACTGGGTGCCACTCCTGTCAGCTAAGAACCAGAAACTGAAGCTACAATTCACACAGGCTCACCAGCATTAGGCTATAGAAGATTAGGGAAACATTGCCTGGTCTGCTGAGTCTCGATTTCTGCTGCGACATTCCGATGATAGGGTCAGAATTTGGCCTCAACAACTTGAAAACATGGACCCATTTTACCTTGCATCAGTGGTTCAGGCTAGTGGTGGTGGTGTAATGGTGTGGGGGATATTTACTTGGCACATTTTGGGCCCATTAGTACTAATCGAGCATTGTGTCAACACCACAGTCTACCTGAGTACTGTTGCTGATCATGTCCATCTTTTTATGACCCCAGTCTACCCATCTTCTGACGGCTACATCCAGCAGGATAACGCGCCATATCATAAAGCGTGAATCATCTCAGACTGGTTTCTTGAACATGACAATGAGTTTGCTGTACTCAAATGGCCTCCACAGTCGCCAGATCCTCAATCCAATAGAGCACCTTTGGGATGTGGTGGAAAACATTCACATCATGGATGTGTAGCTGACAAATCTGCAGCAACTGCGTGATGCTATCATGTCAATGAGGACCAAAATCTCTGAGGAATATTTCCAGTACCTTGTTGAATCTATGCCATAAAGGATTATGGCAGTTCTGAAGGCAAAAGGGGGTTCAACCCGATACTTATAAGGTGTGCCCAATAAAGTGGCTGGTGAGTGTACATAAATGTGAAATGTAAAACTTTTGTGCAGAGTCCAGCAGCAAAGGACTAATGTATCATTTGCAACACTAAATATTAGAATTAGAATGATGCTGATGTTTTAGCCTGGCCGTCCTGTCATTAAATTGTATTTAAAATATTAAACGCGGAAATATTTAAAACTCATATTAAATTGTTGTATTATTTAGAAATATTATGGTTTTACTGTATTTTGATCAATTAACTGAGTCTTCTGAATGGTGAACATACAATGTTAAAATAACCTTTAAAAATGTGTATATATATACTCAAGTCTGTTTTAGGGATTTAATCAGTCACTTCATTCTGACTCTTCCTGTTTAAAATGAGTGATTTCGTGTTATTAGATGTTTCGTTGTGGTTCATTCCGCTGTGGTGACCTCTGATAAATAATCACTAAGCTAAAGGAAAATTAGATTTTTAGTTTAGTTTTATGTGTTTACTACATGCTAATTTAATTTTAATAGTATCTATACTGAGCATTTTCACTGGAGATAGATACTAATTACAGATAAATGCCTATATCTAACTGGAATCTCAGACATAATGCATCTTTAGACCTGAATATTTTTTGTGTGTGTTTTTTTTTTTATTATCTTAAACATGCCTAAAAGCACAACAGTATGGGGCTGTGTGAGTTTTGATTTGCATTTGCACTCATCTTAGGATTACCAAGTCAGAATTAATGAGAAAACCTGTTCTGGTTTATCCAGAGGCTTATTACATGAGGCTAGAGAATCCTGCCATTTGTAACTCTCACATTCCAGCTCAGTGCAGACCCGACTATAAATCTGCCCTTCAAAAACAGGAAATAACAGCATTGTGGAGTGAGAATTTGGCCGAGGCCTGTTGTGGGGTGAAAGGATACTGATTCGCCCTGTGAGTCTTTTGTAGTGGGTAATAAAAAAGTAATATGTGTTAAATGTAAAAGTCACACAGATAACACTTGACTCTCTTTATTCCAGTTGCACCTTTACTCTGACACACCTACAGATAACTCTCCACTAGGAATTGCATCTTTATAATGACTTTCTGTTTTCTCTATAGCCTCTACCTGTTTAAACTTGGTCTTGCGCCCCAGATTACAGACCTGTATGGCAAGGTCGCCTTCACAGGTGAGTCAACTCATCACGGTATTAAACTAAGCCTGGATTTTATATGGTATGATCTGGAAAGGCTGCTGTTCCTGGGAGCTGTGTTCAATGTGAAAAGCATTATCAATTGTTTGAGGGTTTCCTGCCATTTTGGCTGGCTCAAACCGCCTGCCAAGTCCCTGGATGGAGAACATTATTTACCAGACTTGCTGAGAACAATGTCCAGCCGACTCCATCAAAGAGGGGAAAAACGCTCAGCTGAGATTACCTTCTAAAAGGTTACCCAGCAGAATTTATCCAGAGTCATACAGTATAAAATAATAAAAACCTAATTCATAACATAAAGCCAAATAATCACCATTTTCACTAATATTTGCAATGCTGAGTCTGTCCTTTATCTTTTCAGAGGAGGAGATCAACAACATGAAGATCGAATTAGAGAAATACAACATTCAAATGCCAGCCTTCAGCAAAATCGGTGGGATTTTAGCCAACGAGTTATCAGTGGACGAAGCAGCCTGTGAGTTTCACGCTTTCAAAAGTCAAATTCCTCTTGGCTCTTTGGCACAGATCCTTCCCGCGCAAACAATAAACTACTAGACTTAACTTGTACAGCCAAGAGTTTAACAGCACAGTAATTACGATCTGTTTTACATCCCTCTGAGCTCAAAATATCTGCATTATCTTTTGTTGTAACGATTCAGTGCATGCTGCTGTGATCGCCATCAATGATGCCATTGACCATGGAGTTCCTGAGGGCACTTTAGCTGCCATGAGAAACCCGAACGCCATGTTGCTGCAGCTGGATGAAAGCGCTGCCCAGCAGTACCAGGACACCCTGTTCCAGGCCAAGAGTGAGAAAGTGGCCAACTCCCGAAAGAGAGTACGAACTGCACTCTACTATTAAGAGATTTGTTGTACTTGAGTTACTAAGGGTGTTTTTTGCAATATGTACATATCATATCTCTTCAAAAACTTAGTGACTAGCATAACTAGACTGTAAAATGGGTAAAGTCTAAATTGAACATGCAGCCGGCCAAAAGTGTGATATGCACATCAATATAGCAGCATTTTTTTAAGAACACTGAATAACAATAATTAATACTTTACAGTACTGTGATTATTGTGTTTAGGGTTGGGGTGTGTGTAGGTGTTAAAAATACAATTTTATTGGGTGATTTAATAGATAGCATAAACAATACGCTGTACAACTACTGTTTTTACGTTTCTGTGATGGTTAGGTTTAGGGTTGGTGTGGTGGTAGACATTAATAAAATACAATAAATGGGAAATGTATTAAATAATATAACTATTTCTCGTTAGCTTCCATCCGCAACCATATCCAATCTAGCCACAACCTAGAAAGTTGGGTAACACTTTTTAGTTTAGGTCAGAAATTCATGCTATTAACTACTGGGTTATTATCTGAATATTATTAAGATATTAAGGCCCAATCCCAATTCTATTTTTGTACCCCTACCCTTTCACCTTGGCCCTTAAACAGAGTATTAAGGGGAAGGGCTTCAAAATCTACCCCCAAGAAATAGGACACCACCTGCACACGTCATCATATGTCATCTCAATCTCTTACTTCAAATGAGATTGACGATCACGACTGCTGTAGTTACTCCTGTTGTGTTATTTTTTTTTGTTTTTTATCTTCAGGAAATCACTGAAGGCATATATTATGTTATCATAACGATATAATGTGGTAAGATCATAACTGTACTGAGCATTTACATAGTGACCATACTCATCTATGCGCAAATACCAAAAACAACTTTAACATTTTAGCAGACACTGTAAAAAGGTCATTCCCAGCCACAATACGTTTCTGAGAGGGTATTCCAGTGTCATCGAGTGACAGAATGTTTTGGGACTGCTGTACAGGAGTTTTGATTATGGATTATAGATAGCCAAATTTAGCATTTTTGTTTATCTTTTATCTTTTTTATCTTTATCTTTTAGATCTTTTTTTTTTTTTTTTAAGCATGACGGTAAAACAAAAACGTGGTTTAGAATGTGTTAAAATTAATGTTTTTTTTTTTTTGGTTGTTGTTGTTCATATTAATGACAAAAATACTGATTTGTGCATCTCCTTCCTTGTGCAGCTATGCTGCTGTTGTAGCTGATATATTCTGGGAAACTTTCTTACCTCTTGGTTTCGAGTGTGGTTCTGAAAAATCTTAATTTAAACGGGTATCTAGCCCTTTCCCTTAGCCCTAAGCCTTCAAGCTAAAGAGAACTGGGACACCCCAACCCCTTGTTTTGCCTATTCATGTGAAGCGGTCGGGGTGTCCCAATTCTGTTGAGTTAAAGGAAAGGACTAAGGAGTAGAATTGGTATTGGGCCAAACTGTTCATTAGTAGATGTAATGAATGATCTTATTCCACATCCCTAATCCTACCCAATATCTAAACCCCATCTACCTTACTTATCATTAATAAACAGCTAATTAGTCATTTATTAAGCTAGTAGTGCTAGTTAATGGTTTGTTAATACCATGAATTATGACCAAAAATGTGGTACTGAACTTTGTGTCGTGAAGGCTGTTGTAATGCGTGAGTAGTGGCAAGAAGCGACTAGCATCCTATTGCAAGCAATAGTTTTATTAGAATACACATGAAAAGCATGTAATTAAGTCTAGAAATATGAGAATGCATCAAAATAATGAAACAAGAACATAATCCACACATGATCTAACTAAATATTAAGTCAAATACATTTACTACCCACTATATGCAATGTATTTTTTTCTTTTGATAATTTTTCATCTGTTATAAATATCTTTAAGCATAAAATAACTTTTTTTTTCATGGTGCAATCAGTTAAAAAGAACATTTATATGTTATTTTTTATGTATATTTTATTTGTATATTTTGTTTGCCTTTATTTTTATGTCAGTTTTAGTCATTTTAATACAGTATGTCAGTTTTAACACATTTCAGTTAGTCCAAAAACTCTTGTTTTACATCTAATATTCAGATTTTATTTGTAAAAACATGCTAAAATTTTTAAATGTAACATTTCATGAATCAGTTCTTACAAATTAACTTAATACTTAATAAAGAACACAACGCAATTACCATGATATTACCATATCATTAACATGCATTTAGAAGCCTACATTTTGAATGTTTAACAAAACATTTTAAAATTAAATATAAAGCCTTTATTAGTCATTCGATTGCACTCAATTGTTGTCTCGTTTCCTTTATAATAGCATTGGTTTTTGTGCAAGTTTGGCTGGTGTTCAGAAGTACTGTAAACACCACACCATCACTTATAGCCAAAATATGCTCTGACTGGCTGCATAACCTCACCACAACTCAAAACCTATTTAATAAATTTACACAAAAAATTACTGAAAGGTTTTAAAGGTCACATGAAATTAAAATGACTTTTTTAGTATCAGTATGCATGTCTGAGCTAGTGTCCTCTAAAACGATGACAATATTGGCATTTAGTAGATATAAACAATATCCCAAGCTTGCGGTTAGATTTTTACACCTAAATGGATCAACAGTTGTTTTTTGCATCAACTCACTTCAGTTTCTTATTAAATCTTTTGACCAATCTAAAGCACGTCCCGCCCCCTTCAAATGCTTCTCATTTGCTTTTCATTTGATGCACTCAGTTTCAACCACTCTCATTGGTAGAGCTGTGATAATAACATGGGGCTACTCTGTCTTGCCCTCTGTTTATGTTTCAGTTGAGATTTTGGCAAACATTGAATAAAAATGCACATTTCAATGCACTTCACAGCACTATATCTATTGTGTAATAGTATGAAGCTATACAGTAAATTAATCATATGTGTGCATGTGTCTTTTGTGCAGATTGGAGAGAATGCAGAGGCTGAAAGAGATATTTACGATGAGCTGCTCACACATGCTGAAATCCAGGGAAACATCAACAAAGTCAATTGTATGTAGAGCACCTCACTCATCTTCTTTTCTAGTTCTTCAGCTTCTTCTGAGGCAAATGAAGTGAACTTGTTTTTCTGCTGTTTCTCAGTGTCCAAAGCCTTGAATTCGACAGAAAAGGCCCTGCTAAGCGGGGATGAGGACAAGCTGTATGAGGCTCTCCGCACCCCTGCGTTAGGCCTGCAGTCACTTCAGGCTCAGAACAAGGGATGGTACCTCAAACAACTGCTGGCCGATCGAGAGCAGAAGGAACAGGTAACACATTCTGCTGCTTAGTGCAGGTTGCCACTGTTTGGCTAACACTTTGGTTTCGTACACTTCGGTCTCGCAGTTCATACCCAACAAGCAACTTTAAAAAGACTGTAGATGTCCAAACATGGATGTTCTGGCTAAATTTGGGAGATCATTAAAAATCTAATAGAGGTCTAGCAATAGTTAAAAAACAGCCATTAAACGGACAGATTGGTTATACTTCTTATTTGAAGTCATTCATACCTGTCTATTTGATGACTAGGCTTTTTATGGACTAGTGTTACAGCTTAAGAAGAAATCTCCATAGTAACAGCTGATGTGGCATAAAGATATCCTGCAATAACAGCACTCCTCCATCAGGATTCTCAAATGTGATCCTGAACCACAAAACCAGACATAAGAGTTTTTTTTGAGATTAAGATTTATATATATATATAAATATTTATTTATTCCATGCTCTGTTAAAATTCTTGATCCTGATTGGCTGTATGGAGTGCATTATTTTTGTTGAAACATACAGATAGTTCCATTCAGTTTTGATCACTGTTCGAAATAAATGCGCTTCTACCAAACGTTTGTAGTTATCATAGAACCCGCATGTGGAACTGCATGAGTACTGTTAATGGCAGATGGGAAAACCACATAATTAGAAAAATACTCGTAAATTAGGCCAAAAAATCATGTTTTAGGATATTTTCAAGTGAAAATATAGTCATTTTGAACTTAAATCATGAGTTTATGTATAAGATTAGTACGTCTTTAAAAATGTTCAATTCTGAGCTGCAGGTGGTAACTCTGGCAACTCTGCGAAAAAAGCAAAGCTTTATATCTGCCAGACCATCTTAGGACCTGCTGCTGCATCTGATCTCTTGCATCCAGGCCCGTGCAGAGACCGTCCAAAGGGCATGTGCAGGATAAATTTTTAGAAGAGCTTGGG